ATGTATTCATCAGATTATTTTTTATGAATTGATTCATATTTTATTTTTATTCATATGTTCTTGTTTATTGATGCTGTTACGCTTATTTGATTCTTCCTTGTACATACAGACTTGACTTACATAAATATCATTACAGTGTTTCTCCCTTGCACAAAAAGCAAAAGTAACCTCCTTTTTTAATACCGTTTTCAATGTAGTACAGTGAAAAAAACAATACACAGGACTCATCTGGGGCTATTGAGCATAAAAAACTTCATTTGAAACACCTGTATCCTATCCTATAAGATAATAGAAACAGCTGTATCCTATAAGATAATGTGTTGTATTTCAGAATATTTAAGGTTGAATTTCTTTACTGTGTGAATGCTATACTATTTTCTTTTTTCCCCTAACTCCTCTCTTTAACAGCAGACAAACCCAGGGAGCACTGAATGAATCCGATGATCCTGAAACAGGCTGTCTAACTGACAACAAGCCAACTTCTCGACATTTCTATCCTGTCGCCTTGCTGCTTGTCAGCTCACACCTGCTAGTTGTGTGGCTTATTTTAAGTCTTGCTTTACTATTAGCCAAATACCAATAAGTTTTATGTTGTATTCCTTTGTTTTCTATGAATGACAATGGACTTTAAATTATGGGAACAATGCTGTAATATTTCTACATTTTCAGATTCACAGAATTTAAAAAGAAAATGTTTAAACTGTGTTTTTCTCCCTCAAATCTAAAAAACAAAAAGTACTATGCATTGCATTAAGTGAATCATTTTGCTTTTTTTGTTCATAAAAAAGTGTTTCCACTGTTAACTAACTCAAGAAGAATTTTTAAATTACTGTCTTTGGAATAAGACAAAGGACAGAATCCTGAAAGCTTGAAGTTCTGAACCTCCTGTTCCTCTTCCTGTTCAATTTATCAAAGAAATTAAGACTGAATTTGCACAACATACTGAAACCCTGAGACAAGTCCTAGAGATGTGGGAGGCTGAATGAAGACTTTATTTCCACTGTGCTAATATAATAATTGCCATCACTTGATAGAAACCTCTGTTTAGTTCTTTACCTTGTTACTTAACTTCTCTGTTGCAATTAACCCTTTTTGTCAAGTAACTCTATGGAGAGAATGGCTATTTATGTTTTGTAATTAAATTTACCTGTTTGTAACTATTGTTTTGGTTGATTTGGCTTTAAGAGTACTTTTCTATTCTTTTTAACAAGGTCTTGTTTGTGTCCTGATGCACCATTTTAAGCACCTATGACTTTTGTACTGTCTATGGACAAGCACTCTTCCTTTATAAAGCTGAGACTTGGACTAGGCTGTTCAGAAAGCCATTTTCTCTCTTTATTGCACAGCTAAAATAATGAAGTAAAATAGAGATGAAAGTTTTCTTTAAAAATCTATAGGGCCAGACTTAATAAATTAAATGCCTTATTCCTAGAACCTGTACCCTTAGGGCTACATATAGATTTTAATGTGTTTTAAAGAGACTGAGAAATTAATTTATGGAAGTTATAAAAAGGCAGATATATTTATGAAACTAAAGTGAAGCTGTATTGTGGAGCAAATTATATTTAAAGAGTTTATTAAACCTTAAATACCTGTTAAGAGCAAAGAGAATTTAATCATCTCTTTCTGAGGGCAATAATGGTATTGGGCCTGGCCTAGGATTTAATTTTGTAAGATGTATCATCACTTGTGGAAAAAAAAAATGTAGAGTTGAATCTTTGTTATTTTTACTTGGACTGTTGCTGCAACTCTGCATTGAACAAATAAAGCATATTTATTTATTCTGTTTCATGAAGTTGTACTTTTTCCCCTTTCACCAGAGAAGGATGCCGCATAGAAAATGTACTGAAGAATATCAAATGCAGAAAGTATGCTTTCAACATGCTACAGCTGATGGCATTTCCCAAGTACTACAGACCTCCAGAGGGGACTTACGGAAAAGCTGACACCTAAGTTTACCAACACGTAATACGTTTACCAACACAAATACGTTTCAGTTGGAGAATCTCCATCTTGCTCTTTTATTTTTATTTTTTTATTGTCGTGAACTTGTGAGCATAGCTTATCACAGATGTTTGCCCAAATCTAGGAATTACTTGTGAATCAGTTATCAGCATATTACTCTGAAAGAAATCCAAAAAAAAAAACCTTCCTTAATATTGCCATTTCTAGTCCTAAGCCTGAATGTGTTGACCTTCACTGAGTGAGATCAGTTCAAATTCAAAAATCAGTGTAAATTTTATTCATGGAGTATTTAATAAAAGACATTCTGAGAAAACCTAAATTGCTTCAATACGACTAGAGGTGACTCAGAGGGTGGTACTCACCATCCAAAATAAGGAGAGGATAAAGAAGAAAGAGACTTTCTGTGATACTACATCTTAGCCTGTGAGAACACAGACGACCTTAGAATCCACTTATGGAATTTCAAAATAATTTTCTAGCAAATAAAACTTAGGTAGAGTTAACGCATGATCTTGACAGTTGAGGCAGTTTGCAGGTGTGTTTGTAAAGACCTTTGTCATCCAGTTAAGATGTGACCACTCTTCCTAAACAGGTATATGAACAGGGTTAGTACAGCAGCAAACGTACCTTTCAAAACCACGATATCTTTTCAAAACCCTGATGTGGGTTGTGTGTCCCAGCTGTGGAAGTGGCGATACAGAAAGTTTAATAGTGTTATAGACAAAACGTTGCAAGGAACTGCAATTGCAAGGAAATAGGGGTAACAGTCTCTTTATGGCCAGAATGAAAATCCCCATCAGCCTGAACTTTATGTAGTGAAGTTCATACATGTCAGTGAAATCTTTGAGATGTTTTCTAGCAGACATCTTGGTGTAAGTACGCAGTCTGGCATATGTTAGTACACACGAATAAACCTTTAAAACATATGCCACCATAACTAATGGTAAACTAAAATAATTATTTTCTGTTACCCTGAGTTTTGAATTTTTTCTCACTCACTAAAATAACACCATTCATAAGTCTTCCAAAATTCTGAATTAATAATTGTCCTTAGAGATCATCTCGTATGATAACATTATTCAAAAAATGGGCAAATTAAGGCCAATCACCCCCAAACACCCAGCTAGATAATTGCAGGATCGGGGTTACAATTTCTCCTTACCTTCCTAGCCTGTGGCTTGTCCCTTCTCCAAATTGCTATGCGAAATATGCATGGAAATTGAGAGAATACCTGTTAGTTGAATTAAAGTTAGAATTTATCACTGGTATTGAAGCTAAGAGTATGAAAGTCTGAACAAATAAAACCTATTTTTTCCAAATCTAAAAAGTTTATTCCTCTTCCTTTCTTATCAAAGAAGCATGCTACCCAGAGCATAACTCTGGCTTGGAAATGCCAGAGACTTATTCCACAGACAGATCTTAGCTCTGGCCACATCCAATGGATGATACTATGGGAGCTTTCCATAGTTAATGTGATAGCTCCTCGCCTAAGATGCCTGTTGAAATAAGAATTTCAAATAGAGTTCTAGCCCCATGTTGAATTTTTCGAGTTACTACAAATTTTAGCTAACCCTTGGGGCTTTTCATGCTAGAATTATCGACTTTTTATTTTAGCTAGTGACCTGCAAGCATTATAATTGAGGCAGTTGCCAGACTATGTGCAGCTTTTTTAATGAAAATATACTGTGTACTCTGGATGTACTTATAGATAAAATTATCTATGTTCTTTATTGCACTTCATTCTCCATTTCAATAATTAAATTATTGAATTGTTCAATTTCATTTGAAAATGGTGGGATTTGTGGTTATTTTCATTCCCACATTGAATTTAGGATAAAGAAGTTGGGATGATAAAGGTCTCCTTGAACAGCTATCGAGCCTCATTCAGTATATCAAATGGCAGTCTGAGTTCCAGGAGACCTTAAATGATTTATCATCCTGTTAATACTTTTAGAAACTTTTTTTTTAATATTTTAAAAAATGAGACCTTTTGACTAAAATATGGAAAATTATTTACAACTAGAAAAACAACAGTAGGGGTTTCTATTTTTAGAAGACATTTCAAAGATTTTTTAAAAAATAAATACTAACATACGAGTCTCAAAGTATGGAGCTTACTATAATGCAAACACATGAATTTTCATTTATTATTAGCATGGTCATCTAAATTTTCTTATAAAAAGCCTGTAATTGTGCCCATTTCTAAAAGTGAATTTCATTGAGAAAATTCATGTTTCATTTTGACAAGAATATTGCTCCTTTCCTGAGAGATAGTCTAAATACCCTTGGACAACTTCTTCACTACTTCTAAAGTTATTAAGGTTTTCTAAATCAAAGAGGCAATGTTCAACAAAAAAAGTCTTTAAATCTTCCTTGTACAAACACAGCTGTAGCCATATTTTTCTATGTATATTTTCATTTAAAAGATACATCAGCTGGCCTATTTTAGGAGATCATGTTGAGCCAAAAAATGAACCAAGAAAATGACATTTCAAAGGAACTTTTTTTTTTTTTTTGCTCAAAAATATGTTTTTCCTCTATCATTATCAAATGCAGATATCAGTTCTGGATTAGCTGTTTACTGAGCCTCAGGAAAAACATATTTAAAGACAAGGAAAGATGGAACCCTGATTATGGTTGACTCAGTGACGAAAGATCCAGAGTCTGGAAATGTCCCTTAAAACAGCTGAGACAGAAAAATTTGAAATACTTTATTGAAAAAACAGATTCACCCTTAGATGCAACCATTCATTTATTTCTCATGCGGTTTTTTTTTTTCTTTTAAATATTTCCTTGCATTTTATCCACACTCTGCCAAAACAACACTTCCATGCACATAGTTTGGTCAGTCCCATAATCCAGTGTGTCAGAGCAAGCATTTGATCCAGGTGACGAATTATACTAAAATGACAAACTGCCTGGTTAGGGCAGTACTCCAGGTAACCAACCTCCAGCCGTTACTTTTTCAGACTAGCACCTCTTCTGAAAAACTGTGAAGACTTAAAAGCTATTATTTGGATGGAAGATACTTCCCTTTTTTAATTTAACTATGTATGATATTTTGCATAAAATAAGAGTCAAGGTGAGAAAAAAAAATTCTGATGTGTATCGAGTAATGCTTTTCTTCCCAAGCAAATCAAACCCGTCCCTCTGTAAAGACTAGATAGTGTGCCAAGAGCGACAGTACCGAGGGTGTGCTGGAACTGGCTCATACTGACTCATACTGACGATGAAAGTTGGTCACTAAAAGTTCAGGAATTTTGTGAAGCTGGCTTTAACACCCAACCATTGTTAAATATTAAATTATAAAATACAATTGAATATGTTTTATTAAAAGCAAAGGTAGACGGGCCGGCCCGGTGGCGCACTGGATAGTGCGCCGCTTGGGAAGCGTGGCAGCGCTCCCGCCCGAGGGTTCGGATCCCACATACAGACCGGTTCCGGCTGAGCGAGGCGCGGGAGCAACACCGAGGGTTGCGATCCCGTTGCCGGCTCCCCGGCCGGCACGCGGGGACAC